GGCCAAAATCGCTTAGGCGGTAACAGCGCCAAATAAGAAGAAGAAGAGGATAGCATTTAATAGCGCTTACTTTCGAATCGTTAGGCAAAAGCCCCTTTGCAGTACACTTGTGCCCCAAAAAGTTACCTCGGAACGCAAAAAGTTACATTTTTCTGGATTTAATTTAAGATTAAATGTTCGACAAGTCTCAAAGACTTTCATGAGATTTTTCAAATGATGAGCTTCGCAACTCCCAACAACAATTACGTCATCCACATATACAAATGCCTGATTTGGCGATAGGCCAGAAAATGCGATCGCCATCATGCGCGAAAACGAATCTGGTGGAATCCCGAAAAGAGATCCAGCGTAGAAAAATATTTGGCTCGACCGAGGTTGTCTAGTATATCGTCGACTCGTGGAAGTGGGAATTTGTCTGCTATTAACTTTTTATTGACTGCTCGAAAATCTACATACATGCGATATGACCTTTCACCGCTGGGATTCTTTTTTGGGACTAGAATTAGGGGACTATTGTAGTTTGAAAAACTCAGTTCTATGGGATTGTTTTGGAGCAAATTATCTACCTGTTTATTAAATTCTGCTCGTTGTGAGTACGGTAGCCGATAATTTTTAGCTTAACCGGAGTGTCTACCACTCTCAACTTTTGCTCATAGAAATTGTTAAGAGTCATTTTTTTACTCTTCAGAGCAAATATGTCACCGTATTGTAGACATAGGTTCAAAATTCCACTTTCAGCATAAATCGGTATCTGTTGTTTGAGAATAGGCGTTAATTCAGTAAGGCGATTTGCATCAGAGAAGTCTTATCTATTTCATAAACATTGTAATCAGAGAGATTCATTGTTTTAATTCCATAATTTTTCGCATATTTTATTCAATATGTGGTGTTTACTATTTTTAAAATTGGATTATTTGAATTAACAATGCATTTAGCTACAAAACACCAAAAACGCAAGTATCGCGGCTAGTTTCATGCAAAATTGGCGACTTGAGTTTTGTATCGCCTACACATAAAGAGAAAATATTTGTTTGACAATTTATAACACATTTGTTTAGCTTTAAAAACTCCTTGCCGAGAATATCATCTGATGGTATATTGAAGTCATCATTTACAATATGCAGGGTGTGCGCGATAAAACAACCGGATATAACTAGATTTGTAAATACTGTACCTAATGTAGTTACAGTATTTGGCGTTACTCCTGTAATATTTACATTTTTTGACATTTATATTATTTTGAATTTTTGTAAACGCTGGATAATTTTATTAGCGAATTATCCGCTTGCGTGTCAACAAGGAAGCAGAAGATAGATATTTCTGTAGTTTCCAAATTTAGTGGCTTGCATTTTCTTCCCCCAACTTCCGCTGTTGAGGGGCATCTGCGTTTAAAGCCCTTATAGTGGCATCTCTATGTCGGTTATTGTTTGGGCGAGTATTATTGCTGGTATCACCGCGATTAAGACCACTACTTCTATTATTGTTGTTGTAATTTGTGCGCTGACCTTGCAAGTTGCGATTTGTGCGATAACCTCTAGGATTGTTGTGATTTAAGCGATGACTTTGAAAATTGCTATTGGAAAGAAAGCTTTGAGAGTTGCGATAAGAACTAAATCTTCTAGTACCCTGCAGGGAAAGCTACCTGTTGTGAACCAGAATGCTATCAGTTTGCGTTTCAGCCCAACTAGTTCACGTTGTATCCTTTTTCAATGGTAGCGACTGGTATTTTTAACATGGCGGTGTCATAGGAGATATCAATTTCCCGCTCTTGCATCAGCACACTACCAGGAGGAATACTAGTAGCATCATACCAGCTGACGTGATAGACTACCTATTCATCCCCCGTGAAAAGCATAAGTATGCCATTTTGCTCGAGGCGCTGCCACAGTGGCAATGGTCGACAGAGTAAAGCTTTGACACGCCAAATCAAGAGATCCGAGTTCGAATCTCAGTGTGCGATTTTATTTTTATTTCTTTTATTCTTTTTATTTAAATCTCTTATTGTAACTTTTAAATTAATGTTTTAAAAAGAACGAAAAAATATTTATTTTAATTTTTTACGGTATTTGAGTATTAAGGTTTTTTCCAAATTAAATTAAATTTGTGTAAAATTTTTATTTTATATTTAAATTTAAATAATTATTTAAATTTATTCACTTTACTGAAACAACCACGAATCGCACTCGAACCTGAGATATCAGAACCAGACTCGGTAGTCTTCACTCGACGCCACAGCCGACAATTGTGATGAAAGCAATTAACCGAATCTTAGTTTTGGTTGTGGCTATTCAAAGACAGATGTCGTTGATCGCATAAGTTGTTCGAAATCGCCGAAATGGCAGGCCGTCGCTTTCGCATACACTTGTTAATGAACTAGTATTTATACTGGCTGGTTTGGCCTGCGGAGAACTGGTATAATTATAGTCGATAACGAACTGGTATGACTTCCCCATTTAATACCAGTTTTCGAACTAGAATTTCTACCAGCTAGTTTACTTTTTTCTACGAGGAACTGGTATAATTATGGTTCATAGCGAACTGATATGGCTTTTATCCTTAAAGAATAGTTCATGAATTGGAATTTGTGCATACTGATACAGATTTTCACTGCAGGATAGTGTTGAAGTTAGTATTTTTACGCGCGCTAGTATTTGTCGTTTTTTAGTTAATTTGTGTGCTCGACTATTAATTTTGCGAGGACATCCTTAGAATCTGAAAATAATGTTGATGCAAGAATTGACTTAACCAAGTCTGACTTCGCATTCAATCGACAGACGTTCACCATTTGCTCCACGGTCATTTCGTGTACCTTGGCTCAATTATTAAAGAGCGCTCCAATGAATCAGATAACTTCTCAACTTGCTTAGCGAAATCTGCATAAATGCTTTTCTTAACATGCAGTGTTGCTATCTTGCCAGCAAACAACTTTTGAATTATATGGCCTAATACGAAATCGTACTAACATTTGCGGGCAACGCCTCATGGGCCTTACTTTCAAGCTTCGATTTTAGGAACACCACGAGCGTATCTGATAAGCTGGCGTCCAACAAAGTTTCTTTTAAACTAACCTTGTCTAGGAATGACTCCAGTGCTAGAGCGTCACCACTGTAATTCTCATGGATGATCGATGCACACATGCTCAGTCTTCTTTTGCTCTAAGGTAGCCATTTCGGTTTTTTGTATATTAACACTTAAATTAAAAGGAATGTTTGGCGAACCTGAAATTGTGCACTGATTTTCAAGAACTTTTAATGTATAATAAAAGGAGGGCGGAAACTCGCGAATTTTCAGATGAAAACCTGTGCTCGCATCACCGAATTCTTCTTCAGCTCTAGAATCTGTCACAATATTTTCTTGAACAAGCTCTAAAAAACTGATAATTACGGAACTCTTATATTACACTCCAGTCTATGAAAGCATCTAATCAGTAATGCCCTGCAGCGTTCCATCTTTGGTTGTACGTTATCATTATGGTCACTTGAAATTTGCTTTGAATGTATGATAGCATACTCTAAGATAGAATTATAATTTTCACTAAGTTGCGTTTTGTACTCTCTTATTTTATCTTCGTTTGTCGTTAGTGGTGTATTCTTCAAAACTCTATTTGCCACTTTGGTAAAGCTATCAAGCAAGTTCGTAAACTGAAGTTGCAGATCACTCATTTAAGAAAAAACTATGATGTTGTAATTGTGCTGATTATCTCTATGGGCCATTAACAGCGTTATTTAATTTGTCTCCTATAGAGGGCGTTTTTCCAACTATATGGAAGTAAGCGTTCATAACCCCGTTACATAAAAGCGGTAGCGGTAAAATCTTCAGTGGAGAACTACCGGGGAATAGCTAAGCTTTCTGCAAATTCCTAAATTAATTGAAGCAATTATAACAAATCAGTTGACGCATTCTATCTCTTCTAGCATTTCATATAGTCAACATGGATTTTGCAAGGGCAAATCAACTTCTACAAATTTACTTGAATTAACATCCTATATCTCAAAAGCATTTAGTGAAAGCAAAACTGTTGATGGTATATACTGACTTCAGTAAAGCATTTGACAAAGTGTGCCACTCGTTGCTCATCTATAAACTTGATCTTCTTGGTCTTCCACCTAATTTTCTACGTTGGATCTCTTCATACCTCTACGATAGATCACAAAGGATAATGTTTTAAAATACTATCTCTGGCGTGATTGATGTTACTTCTGGAGTCCCTCAAGGTAGCCACCTAGGCCCGGTTCTGTTTTTGCTTTTTATAAACGATATATCTACAGATAGACAATTTTCCAAAATTTTAATGTATGCAGATGATGTAAAGCTTTATAAATCGTACGTTTCAATTAAAGAAAGGTCTTTGCTACAATCAGACTTAAACAGCATTGCTTACAAGTAAATCTTATGCCTCTAAATCTTAAGAAATGTAAAGTAATGTGCTTCTCGCGAAGAGCTGTTCATCCCGCTTCATATACAATAGGTAACCATAACCTGGAACAGGTATTCAATTTGTGGACCTTGGTATCACAAAGGATCCTAAGCTTAATTTTAATCTTCATATTAATGTGATAGTCAACAAGGCTAAAGGTGTACTTGCATTTGTGAAACGATGGTCAAAAGAATTGTGTGACCCTTATATCACTAAAACCCTGTTTACGACATTAGTTAGGCCAATTCTGGAATCCGGTTCGGTGGTTTGGAATCCAAGGTATCAAATTTACTCAGACAAGATAGAATCAATTCAAAAACAATTCCTACTTTTTGCTTTAAGAAATTTCCGTTGGGATGCTCAATATAACCTTACACCTTATACGAGCCGATTAAAACTCATTAATCTTCCTACACTTTCCAGCCACAGGCAAATGCTGATATATTATTTCTTATTGCCGAAATAATAGACATAAGAACGATTATAAGAAATGTAAACAAAACAAAACTGTCAAAGCTAAACTTCAAAATGGGGGGATTGCCGGATGAATGTACGTAACCAATACTTATTCAAGACACGAACCATCATATCGGTATAGACACGAATTGACATGGCCACTATGAAAATTCCCACACTGACATACGATAAAAGAATCGGTGGTCAGATACCACGAGGCGAGAAAAATGTTTTTTTTTTGGAATTGGACACAGAGCGAACCACACTCATCAGCCCTCGTAAGAACGGAATTACAACCAAGTAATTAAAGTGGATTAAAAGCGTGTATTAAAAGCTGGCGACATTCGGGCAGTCGTTACTCACCCCTCAGTGGAAATTAATAGAGACAAAAGGTGCCGTCACATTCCTTCCGGCAAATCCCCAGCCATGTTGTTGCGTATAATAGAAAAGTTGTGAGCATCAAATCCGGACTATTCATTTCATAGCAATTGAGTCAACATAAGCCGGTAATACAAAATCATTACACGTAAGTCAGCCACTTTCTTGCCACCATCCATTGGAAACGAGCTATCCATCAACCGTAAATAAAGATTCCTGTTTGGACCGACAAATCACGGTCAAGCAAATCATTGGCGCCCAACTAAACGGGTGAAAAAGAATAAGTTTTCGTTGAACATAACCACACTTAAGCACGGCATAAAATAACCGCGTGCTCAGCTGAGGGAAAATAGCAATTTCATCATCGAATCAATTTAATACATCATAAAATTAGATTTAAGGAAAAATTAAAATCTTGTTGTCGTTTTTCTCATTTTGTTGGTCACAAAATTGTACGTCGGTGAACCATACATATTCGAGTTTAATAGATTTTTGATACACTTTTTCTTTTAGAAATTTCGCTATTATAAATCATCATTGAGATTGAATCAAATAATTATCTTTTGAATTCATAATCACTGTAAATTAATATCGTCCTCAGTCTTCACACGGCATGATTTATTTGATTTTTATTGGAGCTCGTTTTCAATCAAAATTTTTGTGGATATTTTGATTATTTAATTCCGCGGGGGTGAATGGTGATCGATCTGCGATGCGAACACCATTGATCAGCAGTCACAACCATTCTCGTTCAGTTCAGTTCGCCAATTCTGAAAAGCAAGTTAATTGAATTTTTTTAATCAAGTAACACCACGCATCGACGGTCAAGATTTTTGAACCGATAATTGAACCAAACTATTAATTTTTCTTTATTTTTTTGTAATTTCTTTGGGTATTCATTCCCAATAAAATTTGAAACTCGTATCAAAGTAATCTCGTTTAACATTCTCAAA